AACCAATTTTATTCTATTTGTCTTGGCATGTGAGATAAGTTCATTAATCAGGTTATTAGCGATCCCCATTCTCCTACAACTCGGGACAACGTACATGCGCTTGAGTTCATAGACGCCTTGTTCGAAGTTTTCCTCGTGAACGAGGCCCACCATCCCAACAACTCTTCCATTCAACTCTGCTACCCACAAGTGCGACTGTTGAATCGACATGTAGGACTCTTCGATGTCCTTTAAATCACCTGAATTCAGTGTATGATTAATATAGAGCCAGCCTGTCAACTGCAAATATATGCAGATGAATGCCAAAACCATGCATGCCATCACCACAAACACAGCAAAGATCCATGCCGACCAAATTACTGCTGCAAGTATGGCAAATATAGCAGCCATGACAATATACCTTACCAGCAATGATAAATATATTACTGTGATACTCTCTATAAACTCTTGATATCCATCCTTAAATATGTTTTGGCATGCTGATTGGTCCTTACGTTCGAATGAACGAATGATCGGCAAGATCCTGACTGCTTTGTTCTCGGTTAGGGATACCAACTTCTCTCTAAAGATTGACGGAGCCATTTGGAGCTGTGAAAAAAAAAATTTTGGCGGCGGTCGCATCAAACTTCACTAATTGAATCTAACTTCAATCACAAACCCACTTCGCTCCAAAAAGAAATTTAAAAAAATCGAAAAAGAATTTGAGCGCCGCTGTCAAAGTGTTTTGGGAAGGCAGATGCCTAAAACTCGGGGATACCCCAAACACTTTGACAGCGTTGCTCAAATTCGTTCACTCCAAAGAAAAAGGATAAGATGAACGAGAAAAAATCCTGCCATCGCACGTCAAACTAAACTAGCGGACTAAAGTATTTTTTCCTGATGAAATTTTATCCTGGCATATCTTGCATACCATGGCAGCTTATGGTTGAAGAAAACATGAATGTTTGTCTAGCCAAAATTTGGAAGTCTCAGAGGCAGGACATCGGGTCCTTCAAAGATTTTGCAAGTTACAAAAATTGAAAAGTTTTTCGAATCGAATGTTTTTGAAAAATGGAAAAGCATGGATATTGATTATCACCGCTGAAAAAAGATAAAAAACAGCATAATAAGCGATAAATCTAAAAAGAATTGTTCTCCCATTTTCAATTTTCCATTACATTTTCCTATTCCCCATTTCTATTCTTCATTTCCTATTCCTCATTTCCTAATCCTCGTTTTCCACTCCACATTTCCCGTTCTCCATCCTTCATTCTCCATTCCCCATTCCTGCTTTTAGTAACAGTAATAATAAAAAAATGATATAACTTCGAAGCGTGAAGAATGCTCCACTGTTGATGCGTTTTTTACTACTGCAATAATTCCGCAAATTGGGATTTGTCTTTTCATAAAATGTCCTATATTCTTATTTCTTATTTTGAAATTCTGTCGGCCTTTCCCACTCTTGTTCATATTTGAAATTCAATTTTTTTTTAACTTCATGGAACTTGGAAATTTTGCGTGGGTCTCTTGAAACTGGACAACGTTCCTTGAAAATTCGGAACAAACATTTAGACGTCAGGCGTAAAAATTGTCAAATTTTAACAGTTGGTCGTGAGAAAAGTTAACCATAAAACTTTCTCTTTTAGCCGCAAAAATCATCACCCCATTGAGAATTTCTGACCGTTCTGCACATACTTCTGAAATATCCATTTAACACAAATCGTAGTAATCGCCTGACATTTAATCGCCAATAAAATAGATAAACTTCCCTATTTGTTCCTAAAAATTCAACTGCAGGGAATAAAAGAAAGGAATAATATGCAGTTACGTATCATGAACTACCCATAGATATTTTGATTACCTTAAATCGAGTTGCAACGGATCAATTTCAAATCTCCAGTTGTAGAGGATCAGTTTCAATATGACACAAAGAGGCAAGCTAGTATATACACAGGCTTCTCAAG